GCATTCTGAATCAGCAGTGTAGACAAAATAGATGTTTATGGATTCTTCTGCTAAAACTAGGCGAAAACTACACAAAAAAGAAGGTCTCTTTTGTTTCTGGAATTCCTGAGTGACATTCACAGGGCTGTCCTGCCTTCATAAACATGCCCAATACATGTCAGCACTAATAAAATTCAAACAAAAACATGGAGAACCACAGCTAACCTACAGCAATTTGATTCAACAAAAGATCTTTCTTGACTAAGCAGTACAAAAATTGTGCCAAATTTATTTTTTGGCAAGAACATATGCACCAGCTGCCAGATTCCCAGTAAATATGAAGGCAAGTATAAACACTGGTTTCAGCGGAGTTATGCTGTCTTTACAACACTTAAAAATATGCTTTACTGTCTAACTTCCTCTTTTGTTACACGTCTTCATGGCTTTTCACTATTACTAAATGAGGGATATCTTTCCTGCCACACCTAGTAACTTCTTTCTCACAAAAATATCCTTGCTCATTCAAAATAAGTCTATCTTCTAATTTTTCTTATCACTTTCTTGGGTATAAATACATCTATAGAACAATACTAATTTTAGAAATTGTCCCAAAAAAAAAAAAGCACTTTTAAGTTGTCTTTTCTTTTTCATTACAACAAGAAAAAAGCAAAGAGTCAGTATCAGAAGTAATTAGCCATTAATATTTCCTTTGAGATAATACGGTGAGGTAAGCATGAGCATTTGCACTTCCTATTTGAAAGCCCTCATCGTTCATGTAGCTAAATATTATTTCTAATTTATACCACAATTTTGACCACCATACGATAAATTCAGTATCTCACCAGGATATTTCCTGTTCTCTCTTTTGGTCATGGTTTATTGTTTTTCCATTTTTAATTTGCATCTGTCTGTGATCTACTTAAAAAAAAAATCATAACAAAATCCAAAACATATCTAAAAACACTAAGTATAAGCATGAAGGTATATTATGTGGTTGCATGGCTAAGCAAGAAAGGACTGCTCCTGGAAGAAAACAAGTGCCCTCAACATGCTCTGCCCTAGTGCAAGCTGAGAAAGAAAAGCACCTCTCAGGGTTGGAGCCAGAGTTGTCAAAGGAAAACACTTTCTCATTTGAGATGTCCACAATTGCTATTACATCGACTGTTAAACACTTGAGTATAGACGCCTCTGTTGGAGAAGTGTACAGAACTCCTAATTAAGGAGTTCCATTTTTTCCACAAAAGGAGCTAGATTGTAATGGTATCTTTTGTCCTATGCTTAATGAATGGTGAGTTATTGTTTAAACAATTAGTAACACTGCTGGAAGAGAATGCAAATAATTAGCATAGCTTGACACCCAGAACACCACCAGTTGCTGTTAGCATTAACAATGTGTCAAATTAAAAAGAAAAATCACAAGAAAGAAAGTGTCACTTGAAGCAGTTTTGCTTTTCTTTTTTAAAGATACAATTAACCACGAACTTGTTAATGAATCCGCTATACTTTTGGCTACCACATGCTCATTCTTTCAGAATTTTTTTTAAGATTTGGGTAGCCTATATATCAAACTCCATGTATATTAAAAACCAGCAGCAATACAGCAAGCAACAACCCACTTTTTCAGTTGAGGAATTTCTGATCCACTTAAACATTTAATTTGCCAATGGCAGATGCACATTGTCTATAAGTTAATAAATACAATCTGCAAGCTCATACCTAAGATTTACATTAGCAGCATGACTCAAGAAGTTGTATCACCATCTATGAAGAAGGAGGCCTGAAGGTGAAAATGGACCTGAAATTCTTGCCCATGAGCTACCAAACACTGGTGTGAACATGTATCACTCCCTTACTCCTTAGGGATAAATGGCAATCTATGGAACTGAAAATCTCATTCTCAGAGTCTGATACCATAAACCAGTACAAATTTCTGAGATGGAAGAGGCAATCAGGAAGGGAAATACATAGTTTTCAGATTACCTTCTTATGAACAGAAGATGGATACTGGATCTGTATGGAAACCACCTAACCTGCTGTTCCCTTGGCTCAGAGTATAAACATGCCATAGTCGCTGGTATAATTGGCATGAGTGATGTCATTGCTGGCATTAACAAAGTGAAATAGGCTGCTTCCTGACAAAGAGGATAGGAGCTGGATTTCATGTAGTCTAATAATGAAATTATTAGCAACCAAGTGAAAAATAATCGACAGTAGAGTGTGCACAAGGAAAGTCTGACATTTCAATCAGCTCCTATATTTATTTGTGCAGTGAGCACTAAGCATTGCCAGTTACCACAAATAAAGCCGTAGCTAGATAAGAAAATTCACCTCAACAGTAGTATATGCTGCATACTCCTTATGACAGCTAGAGAGAAATCAAAGCACAACTGAGGAATCCTCATGACTATTGTCTTTCTTAATTATTTTTAGATAGTTTGGGTACAAAGATGTCCTGGGTTCAGCTACAGCAGTCATTTTTTCTCCTTCTTAGTAGCTGGTGCAGTGCTGTGTTTTTGACTTTCAGTCTGGGAACAATGCTGATACCACCGATGTTTTTTAGTTGTTGCTAAGTAATGTTTACTCTGACCAAGGACTTTCTCAGTCTCATGCTTTGCCAGAGAGGAGGGGAAGCCAGGAGGAAGCAGAGACAGGACACCTGACCCAAACTGGCCAAAGGGGTATTCCATACCACAGCACGTCATGCCCAGTATATAAACTGGGGGGAGTTACCCGGAAGGCCCAGATCGCTGCTCGGGTCGGGCTGGGTATCGGTCGGCGGGTGGTGAGCGGTTGTGTCCTTTTCCCTTGTTATTCCTCTTATCATTATTATTGGTAGCAGTAGTGGTTTGTATTATACCTTAGTTACTGGAGAGCTGTTATCTCAACTCGTGGGAGTTACATTCCTCCAATTCTCCTCCCCATCCCTCCGGGAGCGGGGGGAGGAAGGAAGAGTGGGGGGAGTGAGCGAGCGGCTGCGTGGTTCCAAGTTGCCGGCTGGGCTTGAACCACGACAAAAGAAAATCCACATTTCAAAAAAATCATACAGATACTAATACTATAAATAATGCTAAGAGTTGCCATTATAACAAGAGTTATTTGACTTAGGCCTATGCTAACCATTAAATTGGTACTTGAATTATTCTTCAAGGAGACTGGTAGTAAGTAGTCCACAGGTTTCTAAACTGGGTAACATCTAATGTGAATGTTAGTTGCCTGTCTGAGATACCCATTAAGAGTTTCCTTAGGCATCTTTGCACAGAAAAGCATAGATCATGCAAAAATACCCTCACTTTTTTCCTATCTTCTGTATTAGGTCAAAGATCTTAAGATAAAAGACATGCCTTTTAAAGTCTTCTTTCCAGACTTGCCACATCTACATACATCAACACTAAGAAATGTTTACTACTTTTTAACAAGCTCAAAAACATACTAATCCTGTATTTAACATTGAAGGTATTTCATGTTAAGTAGCATATTCATACTATTCATATAAATTTGATAAACAATACACTGTTAGCTTACTAAATAGTAGCATCTGTTAAGGATATAAACCCATTGGATTATTGAAAGACATGATAAGTCCATGCATCTTCTATTCACATTTGTGGTCCATGCCGTCTATTATCTGTGGCTAAATCCTTACCTATTAAAATAACAAACTAGTTTGGGG